TGGTTTCCCACAAATTTATCTTAAAATAAAGTTTAACATCATATTTTAATTTATAATATTTTTAAAAGTTAACTATTTGAGTAAATATTTTAGTTATGTTAATGCTTTTTAATTTTTAAGTTATTTTTAATAAAAAAATTCAAGTTGATTTACTATAGCAATTCTTTTTAATAAGATTGTAAATAGTCTTAATATTTTAAGGGAAGGAGAAAATGTGTTATTTTAGAAAATCAAAACTTAAATCCGGAGTTGTTCTTAATTAAAAAGATAAATGGTTAATCATTTGATCTGAACATGTAAAATAATTTACTATAATAATTAATTAATTGATTACAAAAAATTAACATTATTAAATATATATTAATAAATAAAATTTTTTTAATAAAAAATTATAAATATTATATCAATTTAAAACTTAACAAGTATAATTTATATAAATATAATATATAAATAATATATTTAATCCAATACTTAGCTTCAGAAAATCTAAAAATAAAAAATTTGAGCTCTCCCTCCTTCCTATCTCTTTCATTACTCTTTTTTTTTTCCTATCTCTCTCTTATTGAGTCCTTTTTTCTTATCTCTTTTATCATTCACTTTTTCCTCGTCTCCTTGTTTAATTCTCTTACAAGTCATAAGTTCTTCTTATTATTACCTTTCTAGCACCTGTTTTTGGTCACCCAATCCAGTTTAATATCAAAATGTTGTGGAGACCATTTTTATTTTTTAATAACCCATCAATATTGAATGCCTTATATCTCTCTCATTTTTTTCCTTAACCGAATGCATTTTTTTAGTCATTATAACCTTTCACCAGGCTTATATCTCCAACTCTACCATCAAAGTTTCTTTTTTGGGTCCTCACTTTTGTCTCACGGACCACTCTTTATTAATCTAGCCAAATTTTACTTTTGTATTTAAGTGTAAAATTATTTTATATAATAATTTTTTACATATATTTTACAACAAAAATTAGATGTTAGTGTGAATAAGTTCTTTTTTAAAAAATATATAATAAATTTTAATTGTATTTTTTAAAAACTAATTGAGACTTTAATATTACATTTTGATTGATTTATCGTGTCATTGACCAAAAAATAGTGATTTACTATATTTTAACTTTAAAAAAATTATATGATATCTAAAGTAGTATCTTAAGAATAATAAAAAAGGTAGTGTATAGTTCACAAATTACTTGATGATATTATTATTATGTAATGCAATTTTATTGAAAATAGGATAATGCAATTTTATTGAAAATAGGATAATGCAATTTATTAAAAGCAAAATATTATCTTGATATTTTATATTGAAAAAGTGTTTTGCAATTCAAACAATATCGAATTGTAAAATATGAACCCTTAAATAATTGCAAAATATTGATGGTTTTTCTTGATTAAAGAGTTTTTATTTTATAGTTTAATATAATCTAAACCGTAAAATAATAAACTCTTTTATTATTTGTTTCTAATAATAAATGTTTAATTATATATTTTTTTAAATAAAAATACTTCTGAACAACTAGCAATGTGAGTTGGGAAATGCTAGTCTAATAATAAAAAAGATGAGTCCTTACTTGTTCCTTTCTCTCTATAATTTCATTTTTTCTTTTCTTTTTTTTTTCTCACTTAAATATATAATTTTACATTTTTCTTTTACCATTAAAAAGAATGTAAAAGAGGCTCAAATAGTGGTTTTGTAATTTTTTTTTACCTATTTCGGGCAATCTAAATCTTAAGAATACTAAAAAATCTCATAAAATGACATTTTTTTTGTGAGAAAGTTGTTATTCTTTTTAGTTTAGAGGGCATTTTGGTTAACATGACTTTATGAGAAAGTTGTACAATTTTTTTTAGTTTGGTGAACATTTTGGTTGGTAGATTTAAGCTCTATTTAGTATGATTATTGTTATGGTTTTGGCTTTTTGGTTTTAGTTTTCAACATTCAAACAATCAAAATTAATAATTGAAAACTAAAATTAAAAATTAAAATTGACAACTTATTAGGTATAACATTTTAGAACTAATACCTAAAACTTCAAAGTTAATTATTATGTAGAATTTTCTAATTTTATTCTAGAGTTTCTAAAATTTGAAAACTAAAACCAAAAATTCAAAATCATACAATACTAAATGAAGCCTTAGTACTTATAATTATCTTTTTAGGTTGGGGTAAAACTATCAAAACGACCTCCCTTTCCTTTATGGATCTCTCTTCTTTTATCATATCGGCTTATCTTCTAAATGGCTTGCCTTTGACAGGACCAAGAATGGATTAGTTTTGAGGTGCACGCACGTTAGATTGAGAATATCCTGATCACTAAACAAAAGAAAAAAAAAAATAGCCTATGCTCTCTCCATCAATTCTCTCCTTCCACAAAACCTCCATTCACCTTCTTCACTTCATCTCCAACCATTAAATTCATTTTTGATGATTCCTAAACACCCTCAACATCACCAAGACTTCACCTTTTTCCCTTTCTTCACCTATTTTTCTTTACCTAGACTACTATCAAGTTTGCATCCATCATGAAGTCAAAAGGACACTTGGGGGTAGTCTAACAGGAAAATACATCCCAAATTTTTAGCTATATTTTTTTCTTTTAAAGTCAAAATACACCCCCATCAACCTGCATAGCGAGTTAGGAAATAATAGTATTAAGTAAAAAATTAGAATCCACTTAAATACAACTTTTATATATATTATTTATACAAAATCTTGATCATTTATGTTATTACTACGAATGGGTAAGATTTATTCATTTTTTATTTTCTTTTTAAAATTAATTATTTTTCATCTAAAAAATTATAATAAATCTCCATCACTTATCTTTTTACTAGAAATGTAAATGGTTCCTAACTTTTAACCAAAAGGTAAATTTCTATATAAATCTTCTAAAATGCTACTAATCTCATAATTTTATTTTAAATATTGAGCAATTAACAATTTGAAAAATGAAGTTTACTATAAAAATGAACTTTTCAATTGCTACCTTTATATTTAGGTTGAAGAGAATATAGGAGAGGAAAAAAGGGTAAATTTTTTTCTCTATTTGATTATCAAAAAAATTGAAAAGGAGGGGA